CTATAGCTCTGGAGACAGGCGGTTTTTCTTCTGAGCAAATAAAACCTCAGCATTGAAGAATCCTTGTCCTGTCATTTTTAACCGTAATGAGAATAGAACGAGCCTCTGGAACAAGGTGCAATGGAGTCAGGAGAAGTGGCCTTAAGTGAAAACACAGCTGTGGGGTTTACAGACGGTGCGCGGGGAGGCGTCATCCAGTGGGAGCGGCCAGCCCCACTATAGACTTTCCAACACTAATGAATCGGGAACTCCATGCTGAACAGGATTGAGTTGATGGGTCCCTGTGCCAGCAGATGGATGTATTTTTCTTGAAAGACCAAGGTGCCAGCAATCTCCATGATTACGTTACTGGAGCAAGGTTCTTTTTTGTGGTTTGTGAAGTTGAGCGTCAGGACTGCAGGATTCTCTTGCTCTTTCTCACTCTTATTTTTTCCAGGTCAGAACCAGAGCCTGGGGTGGGGAGGAAAATCCTGCTGAATGAGCAAGTTCTTTCTTAAAAAGCTCTCTCCAAGTCCAAAAAGACTTCAGTGGACTTAGGAGAAAGAAACTTAATACATTGCCATAGAATCGTTGTGAACCAAGTAAAAGCCAAGTCCACAGCATCTTTGTCTTATAAAAGAAAGCAAAGAGGAGATGGAAAAAAAGAAATAATGCTTAGGAAATCCAAACCAAACAAGGAAAACTAAAGAAGAAAAACTAAAGATCACCTCAGAGAATGTGAAGATTTCCTTCTAATAAGATTTTTCAATTACAAAACCAGGCTCAGGTAGAAGTTACTTTTCTGTTCTTTCTAAGTGCCATAAATGGCATACCTGAAATGTTTGAACTAGGACGGGGTTTGCCACTTTCAGCTTGAGAGAGAGTTGGACACTCTGCAAGACTAGTGGACTGTGTGGGGAAGAGTCAACCATGTAGCGGCTGGAGGCTTCCCAGGCTGGTCCTTGACCTGCGTTTGAACCTTGGTCCTAATAGCTAGCAGATTGAAGCAAGCTCACAGGCCTCCCAGAGAACCCATGTTGGTTTGAACTCGAGCAAGCTTGGCCACAGAATAGCACTTTTTTTTTACCAGCTACCTCTCTCAATGTACCCCTGTCAGAGGAACTCAGAGCTGGACTCCAAGGTCACGCTGCTCAATGATGGAGCAGCCTGCAAGTACCATCCAGGCCAAGGTCAGAGAGAGAACTGGTTGTCCACCAGAGTTCATCTTGGAGCTGTTGTGGACAAGACAGGCAACTCCTAGACTTCTTAGTGCATGTTTTGCCCATCCAAGGTCAGGCCAGGTGTTTTCAAAAGCAGCGCAAGTTCTGAGCTGGTACCTTCCTTAGCTGATGGAGTTTAGTGCCAAGTGGCCTGAGTATAATGTTCTTCAGGAACGTGGCTGTTTGGGAAAGCCAACTATGACCTGAACAGATTGAAGACTGACTTGTTTATGAGCCCAGGGCACGCCATGACTAGCCACCCTTTCCTGGTTAGCCTCATGAATGTGATCTGGCCGTTGGCTTCACTGGGTTGGCCTCCAAAGTAAGGTCACATTTCCTTTAATGGTTACATTCAGTGACTCTGTGCACCCCTCTCCTGCTTAGCCCAGGGCATTTGTTCTTCCCCTTAGGTTTCCCTGAAGGGTCTTCCTCAAGCAATGTCTGAGAATTCTGAGGAATACTTAGTCCTGAATCAGCCATCCTTGTTGCTCATCTATTGCCACCTGCTGGGAGGATGGCCCTGTTGCCTCTCTTGTCCTCATCCCACCAGCCCTCTGCTCTCCCGAGGGTCCTCACCGCTGCCACTCACCCGAGAGCCTCAGCTCACCCATACGGCCAGTCTCTTGGGGGCCCATGTCATAGCACAAGAGCTAGTCAGAAGGGGTCCCAGCAGGAGTCTCATACTCTCGCTGTCCTGAACCTGCCCTCCTTGCTGATCTAGCATGAACCCCTGAAAGTAGAAGACTCTTCCATTTCCTGCCCAAGGGAGGTGGCCTGTCCTTTGTCCAGAGGAAAACCTTTTGTCAACTAGACCCATCTAAAGGCCTCCTTCCTCTGCTGGAGGAGTGGCCTGTGACTGCCCTTGGGTTCCTTCACTGTCTTCCCTCCTCACTCAGTACCAGGAATGCTGTGCAGTCAGAATGGTCTGGTTGATTGGGGCGGACTCTTCTCCTGCTTGACATGGCAGCTGCCTCTGGAAAGGGAAAGACAGACCTCAGGACATCTCATAAGACTTTCCAGGCTGCAGCTCTCCACGGATGGGTCCCTGCAGGCCCTAGTTAGAGCCGCAAGGATACAGATGGCAGCCTGGCTCATAGGACACAGTCAGTAACTACTGTTGAGTGAAGGACTGTGTGTGCCTCTTCAAAAGCACTGGTGAGAGGGGAGCACCTGGCCATTGAGAGAATTTGAGCCACTGCTTGTCGTCTAGTGGCACAGTTACTGAGTGGGGGTAGATGTGAGGCAAAATTTTCTTACTGAAGCAAAAGGAGAAATAACAAACTCGGGTAAAATTGGATGACTAAAGGTCTGTTGGACCAGATCAAAATGTGCCAACGGGCACAGCAGCCTGCAGGGGGCATGGCTCTGTGTCTGTAAATCAGTGACTGGAACACCTTGGTGTACAGGACGATGCTCCAACCAACTGAGCCATGCCAAGGCCTACTGCCATTTTGATATTGTACCTTCCCATCTTTCTTCTATGCAGTCTTTGATATTTACATAGTCTTCTTGTATATAATCAAGTATGCATCTGTTGTTGTTTTGTGTGTGTGTGTGTGTGTGTTTTCATCTAATCCAGATATTTTCCCAGGTTAATAAAAATTCTTCATAAACAGTGTAACGGCTGCATACTATTCTGCATGTGACTCTGGTAAAGTTTATTTAACCTTTCTGCTGTTGCTGGTCTTTCACAGTCTTTCCAGCAAATAATACTGAGGTGAACAGTTTTGAAAAAAAAAAAAAAAACTTTTCCTCCTACATTTATAATAATTTTTCTAAGACATAAATTCATAACTTGAATCATTGAGTCAAATAATTTAAAAATTTCTAAGCAGTACAGTCTTTGAAGCAGACCAGATGGTTATAGACCTGACCTTAGCTGCAGAGGGGGAGATAAAGAGAAAAGGGTTTAATAGATTTTTGAAATAATTATTTTCTGTTTTACTGAAGGAGGTCTGGGAAGAACCAGCAGTGCTCTGTAGGGAAAACACACCTTTAACTTGAAGTTTCTGGCTTTGTGATGGGCTTGTTTCTGTTTTTGTATTTTCATGTGGGTCAGTAAGAGGACATACCATTCCTACCAGCTTGTTTCCCTCTAAGGAAGAGAAAACTCATCCAGTATCTAATGATGCAGATCATTAGCTATGTTAACAGCCTTGCAGTTAGAAAAAAAGTTATAATATTATATCCTTCTAATGTGCAGTTGATTTTAGTGAAAATTTCCCTAGCAATTTAAAAACCCAGTGAATTTGTAAACCTAGTAACTGGCTCTGCATTTGGAAATGTTAAAGCTGCCACAGTCACCTGGGCTCTAGGAGGACACACAGAACCTCCCGGAGCTCTGGCTCCTCAACGACACAGACGGAGTTCTACACTCACCTGAGCACCACCCACCCCAGCCCCTCTGGGATCCAGAAAGGGAGACTTCATTACCAGAGTTCTTATTCCTGATCGTCCCTAACCAGAGAGAGCTAATGAGTGCCTCCAAGTTAACATGTCCGAAATCAAACTTTTGACTCCCTATCCATATCCAAGTTCAGCAATGGAACAACCACCTGCCTGGTTGTTGAAATCAACGTCTTCACTACTACCGAACATCAAGTCCATCAGTATATCCTGTCAATTCTACTTCTAAAAGTTCACTTCAAAGATAGATCTCAAATTGTTCATTTCTGTCCATCTTGCCTGCCCGCCCTCTATGCCCAGCCCCCATCACCGCTCACCTGCTCTTCTCAGCAGCCTTCTACAGGGCTCCTGCTTGGCTCTCTCCCCTGCAGTCTGGTCTCTACATGGTAGCCAGAGGGATCTTGGTAAAACATAACTTTGATCATATCCATCCCTTCCTTAAAACATGTCATAGTCCAGTGATGGCGAACCTTTTGAGCTCGGCGTGTCAGCATTTTGAAAAACCCTAACTTAACTCTGGTGCCGTGTCACATATAGAAATTTTTTGATATTTGCAACCATAGTAAAACAAAGATTTATATTTTTGATATTTATTTTATATATTCAAATGCCATTTAACAAAGAAAAATCAACCAAAAAAATGAGTTCACGTGTCACCTCTGACACGCGTGTCATAGGTTCGCCATCACTGTCATAGTCCTTCCTTTGCTATTAAAGTAAAGGCCAAAATTTCTAATGTAGCCAAGAGGGTCCTGCATTTTCTGCCCTGGCCTTCCTCTGCTGCATCACTGTGCATTGTGTCCCCTGTAAGCGAGTTCTGGCTTCCCAGCCATCCTTCAAGTCCTGGAACTCCTGCACCTGGCCTCTGTGCTCTGTGCCAAGGAGAACCATCTGCTCCCCCCATTCTTCCTCCCTATGGTCCAGGTAACGCTCTCCTTCTTTCCTCAGTCCTAGTCTAGGTCCAGTTATTTACTTTTATAGAAACATGGGAGTTTTTTCCTGCTTCAGAGGACCTATTTTAATTTGAAGTTTTTTATATCTATAGTCATTAGTTTATGTGATTGATGTCCATCTTCTGCACTGGACTATAAGATCCGTGAATGAGGCCGCTTTCTGCCACTGTTCACTGTTCTTTCCCCGTCAGTCAGATCAGTGTCACAAAGTAGGTGCTTAATAAATAATTGGTTGCATGCCAAATGAACAGTAGAGTCCTGGTAACAACAGTGTCCCTGTGAGGCATGGGCTGTTCCCAGAAGTGGCAGGCCCAGGTTCTCCACAATACATCAGCTGAAGGGAGTTTGATTTTGCTTTCTTTTTTTTTTAAATTTCACCTATCAGAATGAATAGAGCATGCTGCCTAAATCTTACTTGTTTTTCTCTTCTCTCTTTATTCAGCTGAAGCTTGCTTTCACTCTGGACCATGAGACTGGATTGCCTCAAGGATGTCACATCTACGAGTACCGCGACAGCAACAAGTAAGCCACTCAGTGGAAAGGGAGTCACCTTGCTGTGTCCTGCAGGGGTAGCACCTGTGAGCTTTCTTATACTGGGCTTCTCCTACAAAGAGATTGTCAGGGAGACAATCACACTTTTCATGACTATACTAGAAAATAGGTGGCAGGAAAATATTTCTCCTTTTGCCCGTAAACAGAGAACTTGAAGTGCTTGTATAAGAGCAGCTGTGATGTTTGACTTGTGTGTCCCGAAGCAGACCTTCCTTTCCAGGCTCCAGCTGTTCTCCAGACCCGCCCTGCTTTGTCTCCAGCCATGTGCCTGCTAATTTGGTTCACTCTGTGACTTCGGCTCTCGTTGACGTTGTCTGATTACACTTATGTTTGCAGGTTTTGTTGTAATTGTCTACCTCGTGAATTTTGTAGTTGGGGGATTTCTGAGAACTTCTAGAGATTTAACCTGGTGGCCTTATCAGAAGAGGTGCATACTTCCATAGCCCCGCCTTTCTTCCCGGCAGACTGATCTGTGACTATGTGTTTCTGTCTGTGAGACAGTAAAAGTGGTGGTGAGCAGGCAAAGGGAATATGCCTTGATGATGACAATGATGATGGTAAATAAGACGTCAGCCACCATTGAGAAACTCTGCTGGGGGTTAGGACAGTACTGGAACATTACACTTGCTATCCAGTTTAATCCTCATAACAACCTGAAGACTTCTCTTTTACCATAGATGCTGCCAAAGCGAGCACTTGAGTTTCCTTTTGTTATTGTTGTATTTGCAGAAGCTTGGGTCAAGGGCACTTGCTCACGGTCACTGGCCACAGCTGTTTGAGGCAGAGTCACATTATCATGTTTACTCTGGGGAGAGAATAGATAACCTGTTGTCCCAAGTTGCTACCTTGGAAACTCCAGTCAGTGACAAGAACAGTCTCAATATGGACTTGAGGACAACATGCCCTGGTCTGAATGTTTAAATATCTAAGCTATTAATTTTATGCAGTGAAAGGAATCAAATAGTCATACTCCAGTGGGATTGTACATTACCTTCCAAAGGGAAACCCATGTCTTCCTCAGAGCTCTTGCTTTGATATGGGTTGAGATGGTTCCTGGGTGCTTCATGATCAAATCTCCACTCAGGTTGCTTTCAAGGCATCATTACCCTTTGTAATTTACGTTTAGGAGGATGTCATTGTGAGCTGTTGTGTACCCTCGGTTCCCACCAAGTTAATTGTTTAGGAAAGGCTGGCCACGCATCCTTTAACACCATCCTCCCTCCTCTTGGACGGCACTGTTCCAGGCTATGTAAGCCATGGTGTTGGAATTACCATCTCAGCTTCTTGTAGTGCTTAATTCAGCAGAGAAGTAGGACTGGACTTCTTTGGAGTCCAGGGACTAGCAGGGACAATTGAGCAAGTCTCTGGGTGATAAGGGCAAGCATCACTCAGGAATAGGAGAAACATAAGCCTCAAGCTGCTTGGCATGCCATTCTGTTACCCTGCTTGTCAGTGCCACCCCATACTCCCTGCTGCTTGCTGGATGGCGGTGGATGGCAGCCCCCATGCATGGAGATCGTGGCAGCAGAAACAGATCTTTATGCCCAGGAGTGTTTACAGACTCCATTTCCTGCCTGATTTTTCACTCCCTGAAACAAAGATTGGCAGGGTTTTGGTTCAGTGGGAGAAGGGCATTGGCCCTCTTCCCTATAAATTCATGTGGTCCAGTGACAACAGCTTAGGTTGTCTTTGAAGCTGAGAGAAGAAAATAGCCTAGCTCTCTTTCTTGGCCCAACCCCTAGCTCCTAGTATTCATATGTATCAGAGTAAGCGATGTTTAGGAGGAGAATTTCGGGGTTCTAAATATAAGTATGCTTTGGCCCCCAAAGACGTGTAAAAGAAAACATTAGTGTAGGAAGCTGGATAGGAAAGTATATGATCCAGGGCCTCAATGGCCTCTCCCTATGGTTCTGTCTTGCTTGTCTTAGAGCAGTGGTCGGCAAACTCATTCGTCAACAGAGCCAAATATCAGCAGTACAACGATTGAAATTTCTTTTGAGAGCCAATTTTTTTCTGCTTAAACTATATAGGTAGGTACATTGTTATTAACTTAATTAGGGTACTCCTAAGGCTTAGGAAGAGCCACACTCAAGGGACCAAAGAGCCACATGTGGCTCGCAAGCCGCAGTTTGCTGACCACGGTCTTAGAGACAACGTTGGGGTTCATTCTCAAAATGTGGACAAATTTCCTAACCTCTCTGAGCCTCAGGTTTCTTCATCTGTTAAGATCAGTGGGACTAAAGATACCTACCTGGCATGATTGTCATGGGATTGAGCAGGAAGACATGTTAAAAAACATCATCACTGACTTAGCATATAGAACGCCCAAAGTAAGTGTTGATTGCCTCTCCTTCCCAAACAGAGAAGTCACCTCATGTACTTTGTTCTGTTTTCCCCTGCCAGCAGGGTTGTGTCCATGAGCGCTGGATGCAGCCTCATCTCTTGATTCGGGAGGAGGCTGGTGCCCCCGCCTCTGACAGCCCTCAGCTGTGTGCGATACACTCTATCCAAAGACAAACTCCTTTTCTCACTTGGAAATTGTGAAGTGAAACACGGAGAACCCCATGAGCTTGACCATGATTTTCTCTTTTCCCCCAGGCTCTGCCTTGTGTTCCTCTGTTCATGGTCAGGGTCATTTCCCCAGGAGTGCCTGAATCCCAGTATTGGTGTAATAGTGATGTTTCAGAAATGAGGATATTCCCTAAGGAACCAAATGACATGAAGGCGGCAGCAGCAGAGAGATGAGGGTCTACATGTGAAAGAAATTAGCTTGATATCTCAGTATTAGTTTGTAATAATTAATTATTAAAACCACTATGTGTTTTGTTCATTTCAGTACTCCTAGTAACTAGCCCAGGACCTGACAAATAATACTTTTTAAAAAAAAAAAAAAAAAGATTAAGACTAGCTTTATTGTGATACTCTTTTCTTTTCTTTTCTTTTTTATCCTCATCCGAGGATATTTTTTTTCATTGATTTTTTAGAGAGTGGAAGGGAGAGGGAGAGTTAAAGAGAAACACCTATGTGAGAGAGACACATCAGTTGGTTGCCTCCTGCATGCCCCAAACCAGGGCCAGGAGCCTGCAACCGAGGCACATGCAGGAGGCAATCAGTCAGTGTGTTTCTCTCACATTAATGTTTCTCTGTCTTTCCCTCTCCCTTCTGCTCTCCCTAAAAATCAATGGAAAAATATCCTCGGGTGAGGATTTGAAAAAAAAAAAAAGAAGAAGAAAAAGAAGAAGAAGAAGAATGATAGGAGCTCCTGCCTCCCAACTGCCCACAGCTCACCAGCACTGGGCTATGGGCTTCCCCCGTTATCTCTAGTTTCAAAACCACTCAAGACAGACTTACTATCACAGTTTTACAGATTACAAACCAAAAACATATTACGACTGAGAGTCGGAGAGGTTAACCTGCCCAAGGTCATACTGTGGTCAAGAGCAGAGCCTGAACTTTATCCTGGCTCTAGCAGATTCCAAAGCCCATGTCACCTGCCTTTCTCTCCACAGCTTAGAGATCGAGGGAGCTCTGATTCTAGCCTCTGCTAAGCTGACCTTCCCTAGAAGCTTCTTGTCTGGAAACTCTGGGATTTCTAATCCCTGCAGACCTCTGGGTGGGTAGACAGCCTGGTCTGGTGGAATGAGCTCTTGATTTGTCATTGTAAACCTGAGTCTGGCCAGTCACTCTCTGTGGTGGGTCATTGTCCACTCTGTGATGCAGCCTATTAGAAACATGAAGGTGACGATACATCTCAAGGTTGAGGGAGAATGCAACAATGTGATGTGCGATGTGACTGTGGAAACTGTGGTGCTTGCCCTTGTACCTGCCTGAGTGGCCCGTGCACTGTGCCTCGCCCTGGTCCAGAGACTCCCTGACACCCACAGCCTGCTCCCCCACCTCGTTCTTCTTGGGTCGGTGAGTTTGCTAAACAAATGAAACTAAATATTTTGTTTGCCTCGCCAGTTGACTCATCTTGGCACCTTGAAACCTGTGTCATCAGAGCTAATAGCCCACATCTAGAAGCATCAAAGAGAGAGCTTCCTGTGGGACTGATTGTCCTTAGCTGAGGTGCCTCCACCTTCCTAAACCCACACAGAAGGACAGTGTCCCTGCAGCCTTCCAGAGCACAGGGCAGTCTGCTCTCACCTCTGTCCTCTCCTCTCCCCAGCCCGAGGGCACCTCGTAGCTCAGGTCACTGGCCTTTCTGGCAGCAGCCAGGGCTGAGGCAGGGCTCTGGGCCCTTGCAAACCCACCTCGATTCTTTCCTCCAGCCCCTGATCACATAGTCAGCCCTTTCTGGACCTGAGGGATTCCCAGTGTGCTGGCCTGCTTTGGGGGGCCTGGCCTGCTCAGCCTCCCCTCAGTCTGAGGACACTTTTCGTGCAGGCAGGGCAGACCCAGAGGACAAAGCTCAGGGTCACACTGAGAGTCTCCTTCTGTTGTTTTGTTCTCATCATGGAGGCTGTGCTGGGTCAGGTCAGGTGCACGGACAAGTAGACTCCCAGACTGGATTAATGCACAAGAGACGTATGGGGGATGAAGGGAGCACACAGGAATGGTGGGAGGCTGCAGACAGTGGCACCAGCCTGCCCCTGTGAAAGAGAGGGGCGGGGAAAGGAGAGCTGGTGGGCAGGGCCTCAGCCTGTAACCAGGCTCTAAAAAAGCTTTGGCCAGGCCTGTGGCTCATCCTCCAGCCAGAGTTGCTAGTTGGAGGAATCTCACATCCCATGTGGGGGAACAGTCCTGCCTTGAGACCCCTACTATGTTCAGTCACCCTGGGCCACTTCCCCAAATGGAGCTTAAAAAGGAGAAGTGAGTGGGACAAACTACCACCTCCGTTATCATAGTCGAACTCGGAGCCCCAACTGGTCCTCACCCTCAGCTAGCATCTAGCAGGTCTTGGCAGCTTAGCTGTTGGGTGTAACCCAGACCTTCATTGCAAGATTTCTGCGCCCTTGGCTGTCATATCC